ATATAAAGAACATGAACATATTTCATAGGACCAAGCCCACAGGAACAATCAGAAACGAATTTTAAAATGCAGAAATCCGCAGTGGAGAAAACTCTACTATGGTTAAATATGCAATTGGGCCATTACAGAGCTGCCAGAGCCAAAAAAAAGTCCCAAAAACTCATAGAAAACTCATTTCCGAGGGTAAACAGTAATTCCCTATTCTCACCAGTCTTTGCTTGGCCTAAATCATCAGTCCAAACCACAAAAAAGCAACCCCCAAGTTAAAATTTATAGCTTTTGTGTAAGCAAAATGGTCAGGTTTTCACAATGCACATTTCATTTCCATTATGTATAGGTTAGCAAAAAATATTTTAAACAAACTATGGTGTTTACCTTACATTAAGGGTTGAAAAGAAATTAAAGGGAAAGAAACTTGGCAAATAAACGATCCTGAAGCACATGTGAGGTAATGAAATTTGCCCTAACAGCCTCTCTAACATGTTAATTGTATGTTATTTATTAACATGGGTCTTTCTCAGTTATATATCATGATGGTCCCTTGGAGGCAGTTGTGGATAACATTAATAGATAATTTGTGGATAACATTAATAGATAATTTTTAATAAATCACAAACCAAAAGTTAAATGAAATGTAAAGTTTTTTTAGATTCAACTTGTTTAATGTAATATAGATATGATGTTTACAAGGTAAACTACAAATTAGATCAAATAATTATCTCATTTTCAATTTGATTAGGTGCCCAAATGATCCAATGCATTACTGTAATACATACCTTCCTCAATCCGATTTTTCTACACTCTGTTCCCTTCCACTATGCTCCTGAATTTAAACTGTCTTGATATCTGTATACTCATTTGGTGCTTGTCTCATATAAACAAAGACTTAGACAGGATACCACACATCTGATAACACCTAATAGGCGGTTACTGTTACTAGTGTAACAATAGCTACAGGAGTAGTGACCTAATAATGGGTGCCAGGCTAACAAAAGAAATTCACAGTTGTTGAATCTGTGGTTATGGCTGGTGGAGTAGGGCATTCTCTAGCTAACATCAGTTGACTGTTAAACCTTACAAGTGATTGAGCATGGTTTATAATAAAATGTATCTTTATAAACATATTAATTTGTCCTCGTTTCCCATCCTTTATGAGGGACAGTACTATACCCAAAATGTTATGCTTTTACATTATATTTTATATATTAGGCAGGATTGCACTTTCACTTTTTAAAACAGCCAAGGTCAGGTAAAATCAGATTAGATAAGGTTGACTTTCAACATGATAGAAGAAATATGAAGTGAATATGATCACACAAAAAGTAAAAATACATTATATACTGATATTAAGACCAGTTTCATTATTTTTCATTCAACTCGGCTTTATAAAAAATCACTATATGAATTAGCATAGGATTTCCAATAGGT